CACGTCAGTTAGAATCAAGCAAATTATTGTTTACCCAAGAAAGAGCGGTAAGACTGTTAAACTGAATTATTAAGAATTGCGTAGTTACTGAGATTAGAAATAGTCGGTAGAGTTAGATATAGTGGTCGGTTACGCGGTTATTTTGTAATACGAATAGTGTGTCCTTTCACTTCAGATTCACTTGAATTGAATATTAGTACTATTATTGTATATTGTTTAAGTTAAGATCTTAATAAAGAGTAATTTTCAGATAAACGATATTTCTGCTTCTTCGTTCCTTCCAACAGATCTAGGTCGCGAGGATAATGAGTGCCTTACAACTTGTTTGATTTGTCGTGAAAATGTTATATTGAAAAAATATAATTTGGCTTTTCACTATACCACTAAACACGAATCTTTTCTCAGTGGTCCTTTTTCCTGAGGATCTCTTACAAGACGAGATTAATAGACTTTCTTTAAAAAATATATTTACAACAGCATCAAAATAATGTGGAAATAAAGTTGGGCGGGGCTTGGGATTTTTATGTAAGAAATCAACCCAATGACCGGGTAATAAATGCAAAAAACTTCTTTTTTTTTTCGTGAGCTGTGTTTGATAGAGTTTAATATTAGGGTGGGGGAAAAGAAATCCTTTATTTTTACATGAAATGCAAGACTTTTTTTAACATGCTTCCAATTGTCCGATTTGGGTCAAATGTGCACCTTTTTGGTGTAGTTTGTCGCCATTTTTATGGTAAATTCATAATGCCCCTCTCATAGAAGTCTTGATTCTTATTGGCCAAAAACTCAAGTAATCGATTTTCACAATCTTCTCTTGATCCCAATTTCTTATCATTCAGGAAGTTTTGCAATGCAAGAAAAATGTGGTAAACGCTTGCTGCCAGATCCGGGCTATATGGTGGATGCATTAAAACTTCCCAATCAAGCTCCCTGACTTTCTGGCTAGTCACTGCAGTCGTGTACGGCCTGGCGTTGTCCTGATGGAACACAATACCTCTACTTTTTCCTAATTCTGGCCATTTCTGGCCAATCTTTAGCTTCAGACGATCCAGTTCTTGACATCAGAGATCTGAATTTAGTGTTTGGCCATGCGGAAGCATCTCCTAATAAATGATTCCATTCCAGTCCCACCAAATACACAGTAGAACCTTCCTGGCCGTTAATCTTGGTTTGGTCACAATTTGAGCTGCTTCACCAAGCTTTGACCATGATCGTTTTCGCACAATATTGTAGTGTGTGACCCATTCTCATCCCCAGTCATCATCCGTTTAAGAAATGTGTCAATTTCATTCCGTTTGGCCAAGACTTCGCAGATGGAAATTCGATCCATTATGATTTTTTGTGTTAATTGGTGTGGCACCCAAACATGGAGTTTCTTTTTGAATTCAACTTTGCGCAAATGGCTTAAAACTGTTTTATGGTCGATCTTTCGCCCCTGAGCGATGCTACGACTACTAACATGCCGGTCATCTTCGATTATTTCTGTGATTTTAACGACAGTTTCGACGACGGGCCTGCCTGTGCGAGGTGCATCTTTAACACTAAAAATTCCAGAACGGAATCGACGAAACCAAAATCGCTCGTAATTATTTGTTACAGTATCGACACCATAAACACCATTCACATTTTCCACCAACTGGCTTGCATTTTCGCCTGTATCAAAGAAAAACTGTAAAATGTACCGAATGTTCTCTTTGATGACTACCATTTTTAACACCCTGTAACTGCCAACTGAATGAACCAAACAAAAAAACAGCAAAATAATTTTTTTAGTGTGAAATGTCCCCTTGACAACGAACATAAATTTGAAATTATTTGATTGATATTTCCCAAGATATCGACACTACAGCCATGTTATGAAAAAATAGTGGATTTCTTTTTCCCCAACCGAATATATAGTTTTAAAATAAAGCCCAAAATTAAGTTCTAATAATTTGATCAAAAGTTTCCGCATTTTTAATGTCCTTAATATCATAGCATTCTCCTCACCCCCTATTAAACCTCATGTTGCCGCCCGTGGGAAATAGTTATCATATGTAAGTGGCCCGGCGGTAAAAAATTTTCAGTGCCATTGCTGTAGATTGCAGATAAAATTCCAACATGTGACCAATTAAATGTCTGTTGTATTTGATATCTCATTTAACAAGCAGCCTCCGCTTGAAGTCGTTATGTTCCTAACACATTTGAAGATGGTAAACTATAATTAAGAATTAGTTCTGCCTGCCAGCAAGAAAAAATACTCTTAGTTGGAATTGAATATTGCCACCTGGATCACTATTGGAAAAAGTTTTCCTCGAAGCATTGGTTGCATAGTTTTGTTGCTGTTCATAATGCTGGTGTTAGAGTTTTCTCTAAGCATTTTAGCTTTAACAGTGTTGTTGGTACAAGCTGTATCAACTTTGATGCTGAAGTGGCTGTTATGCAACTGGATTTAACTGATATCTCTGAAACAGATTATCAGCACTTTGTAATCTTTATTGGTTTCTCAGGCTATTTCTTCTGTCCTACTTTCAATCAATGAACTTGTACTCCGTTGCCAATTATTGATTAATTCTTTGATAGATTATGGCCGCAATGTCACCCTTCTAATAGTCGGAATGTCACCTTGCAGTAGATTCCAAGTCACTGTGGAAACATGGGTAGTGAATTTGCTGACAAACTGGCCAAGGATGATTCTGATGTTCCCAACCTGATCCTCCTGTTTGTTATCTAAGTGTCAAAAGAATAATCAATGCTAGATTTAAGGCTTATTTTCCAGAGAAGATTCTGGATTATGTGTGGGGAAAGCATTGGACCTCTTTAATGGAAAATCTCATTCCTTGTGCCTAGATCTGTCGATGTCATTAACTTTAGAATTACAACTGGACACGGCTACCTCATGAAACTCCTGTATAGATTCGGTTTAGCAGAATTACCAGTTTGCTCTTTATGTAATGGTACAGACATGTACGGATATCTTTGGTCTCTTTAGATTTGGAGAAGGAGCATTAGCTATTTCTGTCAAAGTTCATTGTAGGTTTTATTTCATCCCTGAATAATTACATTGGGTTGCTCATCATAAGCTCATTGGTATAGGTGTCCATGATGCGTATCTGCTCAACTGTTAACCACCTGATATCACATTGCAGGGTAAGCACATTGAAATTCCACGCTGTTTGAATGCTTCTTTTATGGCAGTGTTTCTCAAACTGTGGGATGCGTCCCCTAGGGGGGCATGTAACCCTACAAGGGGGCGCGAGCATATCGAAAATCGAAAAAATAAAAGATTATTAAAAAAATTATCAATTTATTCTAATCAGAAGCAAAACAAAATATATTCTGACATAATAAAAAAATAAAATACACATTTACTCTGATATACTATACTTATACGAGTAAATGTATCAGAGTAGGGCACAATGTATTTGATACTATCAATAATAAGTTAAGAACAAGTGAAGTAATTTCTAGTGATTTTTTTCCATGGGCTTATCATATACAAAAAAAATTGCATACAAAATTTAATACTTAATGATTAGTACAGTTTATAATTAAGGTCGTATTGTAGCCTTAGCGTCAAAGTATTACACATTATTACTTCATCATTACATTATTATTGTATGGGGGGGGGCGATGAAAATTATGAATGAAAATTAGGTCACGAATATTGAAAGTTTGAGAAGCACTGTTTTATGGCATTTAATAGCCATTTGCTTTGCATTTTGAATAGCCATTGATGTAAAAATGTATTAAATTTGAACTGCATTTGTTTGCAAATGCTATCTTTATAATTATCTTCCGTTAGTGCATGTAAGGTTTCAAAAAATTCTTTTTTTTTATCTTATGTGTTAATAATGATTATTTTACTGTATTCAGTCATGAAATGCAGCAGTTTTCATGGAAAATCTCTAAACAATAAAAGGCTTGCACATCAGATAAAATTAAGAAGATTTAATTTGTGACAATATTCCTTATCTTGCAAAAAATATAAATAATAAAAGAAACAATGTTTTGTCTTCTTTCAAATTATCACTATGTCTTATGTTTGCTACCTCCAAAGGAGTATTATCATTGGATAAAGTGCAAATTTTTTTCAATTGATAATGGAACTGGGTTATACCAAATTTGTAATGTCCTAAACAGAAAGCAAATAGCTGGGTAAGCAGTTTTTAAAAATTTTGTTCGTACTTTAATGTTTAGAATACGCATAATATTTTTTAATCTTTTTTAAAACTGTATTGATATATACCATGTTTTTTTACTGTCATTTAAATTTTATAAATGCATCCATTTTTTTTTTTTTTTTTTTTTTATAAAAAAAACTCAAATTATTCTATTTATATTCGAAAAATTTATGGAAAAAATTATTTTTGTTTCAGGAATTTAACTGTGATATGCCCCAATTTTTAACTTTTAGAAATTGTAAAGAATTGTTTGAAATTTTGCTAAATAATAACACATCAACTGTTAAATACTGTAAAATCCGGAGAATAACGCGCACTTTTAACACAAAAAATAAGATTGAAATTTGCGGGTGAGCGTTATACGCCGTGTTCAAAAATGATAGTTTTAAAAATAAAATAAAAGAAATGAGCAAAAAATAAAATTAGACTTCTACATAGATTGGAATACTGTTTATTTAAAAAAGAAATGACATACTTAATGAACTTGAAAGGGTTATAGTTCTAGAAGTATACTTTTTTTTCAAAAGCCTGAGATAATAACTCGAATAAATGATTACAAAAAATAAGAGTATTGCATACATACATTTCAGTTCCTACGTAAACAAGTAATATATAAAAAAAATTAAGTCAATTCCTATGTAAATCAACCTAAAGAAAATTTTTTTTTATTTTAGTTACTTTTTATTCAATAGTTCGATTTATATAAATATGTATATACATATTAAATTACAATATTAAGTGACAAAATATAAAGCGATTTTCCTTTCTATATATGATGGTTTTTTTTGTTTGTTTGTTATAATTAAATTTAAATATTCTAATAAAATAATATTAGGCCTTCCCAGGTGGGAATCGAACTCATGACCTTTAGATTAGAAGTCAAACGTGCTATCCATTGCACTACAGGGAGACCGCGGATGATTTTTCTTTTTATATATGCTGTTGAATTATTATTTTTGATTGTTACAAATTGTTCATTTTTTAAATTTAATTAATGAATTAATGTTTTAAAAATCTGTAATAATATCAAAAGTCACCCACACTGCAAGGTTTTAAAAAATTTATTTGAACTTGAATGGAGGAATATAAAGTATTTTATTAACGATTGAAAATTTGAACAAGATATATATTTTTACGTAGATCTAGTGTTCGAGAATTTTATGCAGATCAGAGTAGCAAAGAACAAGACAGTTCTTTAAGAGCGATAGAAAGTCTAATCCTTTATAAATACAGGAATCAGCAGCAATATTCACAAAATAAATATCAGAATGTCTTCACACCTTCAATAGCACTCAGACACAATTATAAGTGTCTAAAATACGCGTATATAAAAGATTATTCACAAGCAATCACTTGTTGAACAGCCAAAGTAATCACTAAACGCTTCAACAATCAGAGCAATACTAACTAATCGCTAGTCAAAACCAGACTGAATGACTTTCGGCGAGCTTTCTCTATTTATATCCTATTTATCTCTATTTTTATCTCTATTTATATTTTCTAATATATTTCTTCGTTTGTATTTGATTTATGCGTTTTTGATAATGCCGAGCAAAAGGCCTGCTGTTTTAGAGGTGCTTCAGCAAGGAAAGGTTGCGGGTTTGACCATGCCCAAGTCAGTGGATTTTCATGATGTAGAAAATTGACAGCAGCCATGTCGTATGATTATGCAGCATGTAAAATAATCCCTTGAAGTGCTTGTTTGGCTTGGGTGCTCTCGGCAAGACTAAAAAATTAAGTTCATTTTCGCGTCGTCAGAGCTCAGGTGCCTTCCTCTGGGGAGGAAACTAGGCGTCAAATTTACTTGCGGCAATTGGTATCGCCTATACGCTGACGCACTAAAAAGTGATACCAGTGATATCTGGGGAATAAACTAGGTCTGCAAAGGTAAAAAATTCGAATACGCAGCCCCATCAGAGAAAAAATTAGAGATTTAAATATTATATCTAGAGAGAGAGAGAAATTAGATTAAAGAGAGGTTTATTACAAGGTTGCCTTTTAATTTCGCCACTGTACATGAAATCTATGAAGATTTCTTCTTCGGCAGTTGAATCTGGATTATTTTGAAATGAATTTCTAACCCACTCGTAAATTGGTGCCAAGTTGTCCTCAGGAGGGAAATACTTTTTACAATTATTTGCCAACATGGCTAAATGATTTTCAACAGATTTAAAAACAATTTTCTTGTGTTGTTCTTCAATTTTGTAAGTTTTAACACATTTATCCACATTTTTCAAACACTTCTATGTTTGTTTTAATTAAATTTATGCTCCATAATTTTGTACAAAAAGCATTAATTTTATCACGCGTGTCAAACATATATACATTTGATCCTTGGTGTTGAAAATTCAAGGTTTTTAGTCTCTCGTATATATCGACCAAGTAGCTCAACTTCATCACAAATAAATCATCTTGATATTTCTCAGCTTCTTGTAGGTTTTCCTCTTCTAAAAAGTAGGTTTTCCTCTCTTTCACTTCTGAGTTCATAAACACGTTGCAAAAATTTCCCACGTGATAACCATCTTGCCTCGCAATAAAATAGCAACGATGAATGTACTGCGCGTCCATGTCTGTTGCAAAGTCCAGAGAAGATTCTTGATTTTAGGAGTCTCATTTTTATGTAGTTTACTACAGTCACAACTGTCGTTAGCACAATTCTCAGACCAGGACTCATTTCTTTGGAAGCCAGAGCTTCTCTGTGGATCATGCAGTGTGTCGAGATGCACAGTGGAGATCTTGATTTAACAAGCGCTTGCATACATTGAAATCTTCAAGACACAGTACGAGCACCATCAGTGCATATTCCGATTCAATTTTTACACTCTATGTTTGCCTCATTTTTAAAATCATTTAATATCTCAAATAATGCTAGTGCTGTTGCTTTGATTTTTATTGGCTTACAAAATTAGTTCTTCTACTAACCTTCCCAAAATCGAACATACGCAATGAAATGAGCATCTTCATAGTTATCTGTTGCCTCATTAAGCTAAATTGAAAACAATTTATCATGCAATTTCCCAAAACGCTGCTGCTCTACATCTTCAGCTATATCATTAATTCGACGGGCAACAGTATCATTTTATAGAGCTATGGACTGCAATTATTTGGCAAAATTATCTCCAAACATGGTTTCTACAATCTCATTTGCTGCAGGCAAAATAAGATCTTCACCAATTGTGTGAGACTTTTTACATCTGGCTATTTTGTATGAGACTTTGTAAGAAATAAGTAAAGTTTTTTCAATCACTGACAGAGTATTTTTTTTATAATGTTTTTTGTTTTTCATATGATTTTTTTTAGTTTTAATTCAAAGAACTCTGGAGGTTTGTTAATGTACTCACTACGAAGCGTTTCTAAAGGTATTTTAAGTTTATTAGGTTTCAAACTGCCTTCTGCCAATATATTTTTAAACAAGTAACACACAGAGGCTTTTCTTCTCCGTTTATTTCAGTAATGGTGACTTCATTTTCAGAACTATGCTCGTATGTGCACGATGCTTTATTATCGTCTCATGTTCGCTTACGACTTAAAAATTTATCCATGGTTTTGTTTTAATCTACTGCTGTAAATACTTAATACTGTGGATTACAACTAACGCGCAAATTATAAAACGAACATTCAAGATAGATTCCATAGCTATAGAAGTATCGACTCAACCAAAACTGACTGGAATTGTACGAGGAACAGCATTTTTACACATTTTGTGCAGACGTCGGATAGGTTGCCCAGACTCACGCATACGTTCGTGAGAATGCCAAATGTGATGGATATGATAGAGAGCAACATAGACTAGACTACTTTTTTAATGACATTTAAACTTTTAGAAATGGATGATGGAGGAAATAAATCTTTAAATAAATATAATTTTGCAATCTGTTCCAATTTAAAAATTAGAGAAAAGAAAAATAACATAATAATTATCCTATTACTTAAAAGTATAATTTGCTTAAAATATGTATTACTTAGAAGTAACAAATACAAAATTTAAAACTTATCTTGTTAATTTGTACGGTTTATAATTAAGATTGTATTGTAGCTTTAGCGCCAAAGCGCATTATATATTGTTCTAAAAGGGGGGCGCGATAAAAATTATGATTGAAAATTGGGTCGCCAATAGTGAAAGTTTCAGAAGCACTGACCTAGTTGTTTGAAACGTATTAAAAACGTAATTAACCGTAAATGGCAAATAATTCCGCCTTATAGCTTAACGGGATTTACATACTTATATTTTGCTTTGATATTCCCTTTTTTCTTTGAACAAACGTTTTATGAACTACATATAATTGTTCTTCGTTACTAGCCTCTTCGTGTGTCATTTTTATACATGTACTGCCAGGTATACCTACTGTGTAGAGAGGAGTAATGCACGTCAAATATGTCGAGAATCAAAGAGTGCCTCCCGTTGGTGTGATATTGGTGGAAGGTTAAGAGAATTAAGAGAAGGAAGGTGTAATGTTGGCGTGGTGCGGAATTAAAGAGATGGAGTACCAGTTCAGATGCCATCCTTGATATTTGACCATGGTTCAAAATTACGAGGTCAGTTGCCAATAGCCCTAGTGCAGCTTTACATTGAGAAGTAAGTATAACTCTCCCTCGCTCACCAGGTATAACCGTTCTGCGCTCGCATGAACTGGAAAATATAATAATCGAGTTAGAACTATGAAATAAATTTTAATGATTTTAAATATCTTAAGCAATACTGTAAATAATTTTAAATGAATGGCAAATAAGACTCTAAGGGTAAACGGATTTAGTAAATAAAGTAGTAAAGTTAATTACATAAATGTAGTCCAATTATTAGATATTTCTCTGGCTCGTCTGAAAAAAATGGATACAAAAAAAAGGGGATAAAATAATTTTAGTCAGTGAAAATATAAAGTTTTTCTTGATGCTGTAATAAATTGATTTATACATGAAACATAGTCCCTAAAAATGGATCGTAAAATGTTGAATTTAACTAAAGATTAGCTCAAAGAAAGAATTTTGTCAAAAAAAGAATAAGTGAAATAAGGTATCCGATTTCGTTCACAACCATGATTTAAAAAAGACGCATAAATAGATAATTTGTATGATATTTTGTGTCACTTAGATTGGAATGCATGTATAAAAATGTTTTAAGAATATTATTAAAATAAAAAATTATTTAAATGCAATACTTTGGCAAAAAATGAACTTTGAATTAGCTATTTTCAAAACATTCTCCTTTTATGAAAAATGACTCTATAATAATAGTATTTTGCTTATGTAAAGCTAAGATTTTTCCATAGGGCCTGAACTAGGATTTTTGAAAAATTCATATTATTTTCAGAGTTACTACAAATTGAAATAATAATTTTTTTCCTTAAAATTTCTCCACTCTGTTATATTAAAATATGGATAAATCCACTTCAAATTATATAGTTCAAAAATTCTAGTTCAGGCTCTGTTCAGAGTTCTGAGCTACATAAAGGCAAAATATTATTACTATAGAAGCATTTCTCATAAAAGAAGAATGTTTTGAAAATGTGCAATTCTATGTTCATTTTTTGCTAAAATATTGCATTTAAATAAGTTTTTGTTGTAATAATATTCTTAAAAGAATTTTATTCATGCATTCTTATCTAAGTGATACTAAATATCATAAAAATTAACCATTTATACGCTTTTGCAAAATAAGAATTCCGAATGTAGCCGGATACCTAAAAGAAGTGATCAGCAGAAAATTTATATCTGGAACAGTTAAAAAACTAACCATCCGGAGAATTGTAAACTTAAATCCCGAATAATTTTACAATGTGATCATTGAGTGTAAACAGTTGAAAATTTTTTAGAGTGGAGGTTGATCCGCCGTTAGGTGTACAGGGGGATGACCTCTTCCCCCTAGTATAAAATAAAAATACTTCTACAAGAAGTTTAGCATAACACCAATAT